AGGGTTGATGTTGGGTAAAAGTTCTCTGAGCACATTAGGGGCCCATAGGGAAATTTTGTAAGGAAGGAAAAGGGAATGGTTGACAAGATTTTTTTTTGGCCATGATTTTCACTGCCTGTCTCTGGTAGTTCTTGTCACAAAACCATCTTATGTGCTTTTGACATGCATGTTTTTGTCTGCAGACTCCATCTCTATGAGAGGAGGAACAGCTCTTTCTCTGGGAATGTGTTTCCTGGTTTCAACTAGCAATGTAGTCTAAATGGGATGTCGACTGGGAAAGAAGGAAAAATAACCAAAATATCAATAGTTCATCCAGCCCTAGAATCAAACCTGAGAGCTTCCTTGATAAATGGGGAAAATAATGATATAAATTTTGACTAAGTACAATCAACAAAAGTACTTAATACTTCCAACGAGACATTAGGAGCTAATAGAAGACAACCCCAGACATCAATGTGGTTAAATTTTACACTGAGATAAAACTCATTCAAGATTTGAGTGAATCTGGTTTGGCCCGATTACTCTGGGGCAAGACACTGAGGGCATGCAGCAGAGTAGCAGGGGTAGCAGAGTGATGAAACCCCCAGGGAGCACCAAAAATAGACTTGGGTAGACAGAGTATGGCACCCCATCAGACTCGACTGGAAAACACTTGTAAAGGCTAACAAACAAACCTTGAACTATTTATAGGCTTTTCCATTCTCGTCAGTGACTTTCTTTTTGTTATTGTTATTTTGTTCTTGCTTTCTGCTGCTGTTATTGTTTTGTTGGACTTGACTTCTTTTGTTGTTTTATTTGGCTTTGCCTGTTTTTTGCACTTGTTAATGTATCTGCATGTCTATCTAGATAATATAGGCAGGATAAATAATTCAGAGATGAAAAGAACGGAACCAATGGTTTCAGAGGGATACAGGAGAAAGGGAGGTGAGAGAAAGGAAATGGGGGAGGGGGACCAACCCAGGGACAAGGGAACAACAAGTGAACTAAAATCAATGAAAGGGAGGTTGTAGGACCTAGTGGGGCTCAATCAAGGGCAATGTAGCAATGAGGAATTACTAAACCTGAATGAAGGGCAAACATGATGGTGGGACAAGAGGGAAGTAAAAAGGGAATAGAAGAAAGAACTAGGGGGTAAGGGACATTTATAGAGGCCTAAATAGAGGCATGTACATATGTAAATATATATATAATGAGAGGGGATTAGAACTATGTACTCGTATCTATATGTTAAGAATTAAGGTTACAGATGAACACTGGGCCTCAACTCAAGTACTCCTTTAACACAAGAACACTTTGTTCTAATAATCTGGCATTTTGTGATGTTCACTATCGCTGAAGACAAAATAGGTGCATAAGAAAATGTGGTGAAGAAACTCATGGTGCCCGGCTAACAAAAGATATAGTGTCTGGGGTCTTAAAGGCTTGAAGATAAACAAGCGGCCATCTAGCTCAGAAGCAACAAAGCACACATGGAAGAAGCACACCAGCCTGTGTGATCATGAAGTGTCGATGGAATCAGGTATCAGGCATCAAAGAAAAAAATTCATATCATTGTGAATGAGGGGGAATGCGGAGTGGGGACACAGAGCCCATCTGTAGGCAACTGGACATCCCCTTACAGAAGTGTGGCAGGGAGGAAGCGAGCCAGTCAGGGTATACAGTATAGCAAAAATGAAACATACAACTTTCCTCTAGTTCCGAAATGCTTCCTCCCCCCACGATCATGATCCCAGTTCTACCTTACAAGTCCTGCTAGACCAGAGGATGTAAACTGGTACAGAAAGGAACTGGAAACACAGGGAATCAATCTAGAACCCCCTCCCAGGGGGACGAATAATGGATAAGTGGGTGAGGTGATGGAGGACAATTTAAGATATGGAAAATATAATCTATAATTTATCAATGGTTCGTGAGGAAGGGTGGGGGGGGAGGGAGGGTGAATAAATGGGGAGCTGATATCAGTGGCTCAAATGGGAAGATAATGCTTTGAAAATGATGATGGCAGCATATGTGCAAATGTGCTCAACACATTGGAGGCATGTATGGATTGTGGTAAGAGATCTAAGAGGCCCCAATAAAAGTTTTTTGTTTTGTTTTTTAATATTTGAGTGAATCTTGGTAAAGGAAATGGATGAGGTTTAGAGATACCGATGGGATTCAAGTAATGGAGAGTGTAAGAGAAAGTGAAGATGAGATTTGATTTCTGTTTGTGTAAAGTGGGAAATTGCTTGGAAACCATAGGCCATCAACCCTGCAGCCCTACTTTTCCCCTGTGGATTTCTTATTGTGTCCTAAAAAGATTCTGAAGGAACATGAGTTGAGTCTCTCCTGTCCAAAGTGTTGTTTTGAAGAGGTATAAATCAAGGAATGTAGAATTCCTTGGGGAGCAATTACAGACAGGAAACATCAACTATTTTCACATTTTGATATTTGGTTTAAAAAAGGTTTCCATGGTTTTGCAGCAACATATATATATATATATATATATATATATATATATATGTATTTTACTTTCTTGTTAAGTAAAAGCTTTGTGCCATCGAGTCAGTTCTGACCCATTGCGTCCCTATGCACAGCAGAACAAAACACTGCCTGGTCCTGCACCGTCCTCACAATTGTTCCCTTGCTCGATCCCATTGGTGCAGCCACAGTGTGAATCCATCTTCTTTAGGGCCTTTGTCTTTTGGATCACTACCTCTACCAAACATTTTGCCCTTTTATTCCTGCTAATAGTTCTTTTTCTCCCTACTCAAACTTGTGCTGAGAAAATTCTGAAGCAGTGCTTGTTGATCTGGTTTTCTATGTAAATTCCTGGCAATCAGACAGGAAAATGTCGCTATTCGATTTTGTCGTAATTTATATTTCTCAATCCTTTGTCTGCCAGACTTTTTCCCAGGCCACTCCAGAAACAAGTTTTTGGTCTCTGAGCTGAAGCATAGACATTCTGGAGAAATTCTACTCCTGTGAAGAGTTAGATCTTGAAAACTCACAGGACAATTCTACCCTGACCTATAGAATCGCTATGAGTCGGCATCAACTCAATGGCAGTGAGTTTGTTTTTTAAAATTGTAATTATTTGTAGTTTTGATCCACATAGTTGAATGCCTTTGCATACTCAATAAACACTGTTTTACTAATATGACCCTTCCAGCTACATTCCGTTATGTTGAGATTTAATATGCTAAAAAGGACCGAAGATTAATATCCTTATTTCTGGTAAAAATCCTCTGTAGTAAAAAATTCATGACCCGGGCCTGTCGTAAAATGTGTTAACCATCCACTCATGCCATAATCCAGGAACAGGGAAGCAGGGACATTTGGATAAGCAATGGATCCCCAAGCCATGGGTACTGGTCTGACAGCCTCTGGAGTAAGGAAGATATCCACAGAGAGTCTGATAATCTCTTGGCAAAAACTTGTTTTTCTGTGAACCTTGCTGCCTTTTGTCTCGTTGCTTTTTAAAAAAAAATCATTTTATTGGGGCTCATACAACTCTTGTCACAATCCATACATACATCAATGTGTAAAGCACACATATATTTGTTGCCCTCATCATTCTCAAAGTTCGCTTTCCGCTTGGGTTCCTGGAATCAGCTAATTTTCCTCTTCCCCCTCCCCCTCCCTCCCCTCTCCCCCCTCCCTCATGAACCCTTAATAATTTATAAATTGTTATTATATCATTTTATTAGGGGCTCATACAACTCTTATCACCATCCATACATACATCAATTGTGTAAAACGCATTTGTACATTCATTGCCCTCATCACTCTCACATTTCCTCTCCACTTAAGCCCACAGCATTAGGTCCTCATTTTTCCCCTCCCTCCCCGTTCCCCCCTCCCTCATGAGCCCTTGACAATTTATAAATTATTATTTTGTCATACTTTGCCCTGTCCGATGCCTCCCTTCACCCACTTTTCGGTTGTCCATCCCCCAGGGAGGAGGTCACATACAGTTCCTTGTAATCGGTTCCCTCTTTCCTACCCACTCTCCCTCTACCCTCCCAGTATCACCACTCACCACTGGTCCTGTAGGGCTCATCCGCCCTGGATTCCCTGTATTTCCAGTTCCTATCTGTACCAGTGTACATCCTCTGGTCTAGCCAGACTTGCAAGTTGGAATTTGTGTCATGATAGTGGGAGCGGGGAGGAAACATTTAGGAAATAGAGGAAAGTTGTATTTTTCATCGTTGCTACATTGCACACTGACTGGCTCGTTTCCTCCCCGAGACCCCTCTGCAAGGGGATCTCCAGTGGCCTACTAATGGGCTTTGGGTTTCCACTCCGCACTCCCCCATCATTCACTATGGTAAGATTTTTTGTTCTGATGATGCCTTATACCTGATCCCTTCGACACCTTGTGGTTGCATAGGCTGGTGTGCTTCTTCCATGTGGGCTTTGTTGCTTCTGAGCTTGATGGCCGCTTGATTACCTTCAAGCCTTTAAGACCCCAGACGCTATACTTTTTGATAGCCGGCCACCATCAGCTTTCTTCGCCACATTTGCATATGCACCCATTTGTCTTCAGTGATCTGTTCTCCACCTCGTGATCACACAGGCTGATATGTTGTTCCATGTGGGCTTTGTTGCTTCTGAGCTGATGGCCGCTTGTTTACCTTCAAGCCTTTAAGACCCCAGACGCTATATCTTTTGATAGCCGGGCACCATCAGCTTTCTTCACCACATTTGCTTATTCACCCGCTTTGTCTTTAGCGGTTGTGTCGGGAAGGTGAGCATCATAGAATGCCAATTTAATAGAATAAAGTATTCTTGCATTGAGGGAGTACTTGCCCACTCAATTTCTGAAAGAAAAAGAATTCCTGGAGAAATGCTTTCTTTTGCATAAGGGATACATATATTCCAAACAAATTCATGTTATTTTTATAGAAAGTATTTTCTGAAAATGCACAGTGAAAACACCAGGCTTTTTGAATTTTTCAGATCAATAGGTTGAGGTGCCATTGTTCATTTTGCTTTCCAGTTAGGATATTATACATAACTTATCATCAAAAGAGATTTATTTCAAGATTTACAAAATTAGAATAGTACGTTTCTTTTTTCAAAAATTTAACAAAAGGTTTTTTCAGAGTAGTTACTTTATATGCATGTAGGGAGACCATTTTAATTGTTTATAAAGGAAAGAGGAGGGAAAAATACAGAAGATTAGTCATTGGCCAATCTTAATATGATTGAGCCCTACCTTCACAATCCTCACCCCCAACCCCCGCCCCATGTACTGAGATTGGTTAATATCTGGGTACCTCTAGCCTGACTACTAATAATTTTGCCCTCCACCCACCTAACCTTGAGACCTTTTGAGATGGAGACTGTGAATCATGATTACCATCATGAGTTTTCATTTCTTTCGGAACCCTGTGTTGAAAGTACTTGTTATGGCACTTCTATGCATAGTTTTTATAATTTCCACCAAATGACTGTGTGGGAAAATGCAGATAAGGTATAGAAGGCTCTAATGAGGGGATGAGTTAATTTCTGTCATTCCACTGTGCATAAATTGAACCATCTCAGAAGCAGGGACAGAGAGTCTCATGACAAGTGGAAGGAAGGCCTGGAGAGGAGTACATCGAGGACCTCTGCAGGGTGGGGAGCAACAGAGGCAGCAGCAGAGACCATGAAAAAGGGGTTACAGCAGCAGAGACCATAGACAGGCAGGATTCCCAGCCTAGAGAATGAGAAAGTGGAGTCTCTTTAGTCGTTGGCACACTAACGGCATTTGATAGCACTTACTCAAACAGGACTGAGACCAAGAGGCCACATCGTTGTGAGACTGAGCACGTGCCTGCCAGTATGGTTGAAAAGCGGCCCTGGGGACAAAAGAACTGTCTCTACTGTTTTCTGATCTTTCTGCGAGTTCTTTGCCTCCATGGCACAGGTTTCCTAACCCAGCAGAGGGGTCGTGTGCCACAAGAGATGGTTGGTGTCCACACAGGGTAAATATGGTTGGAGGGTGGAAGCCGAGCTGCCCTCAGCCTCATGGGAATCATCCCAGGCCCTCTTGAGGCTGGAGGAAGTCATGAATGGCCCGCAAGTCATTTTCCCAAGTTCCAGTAGTACAAGGAAAAGACGTATGGACACCGCTCATATTTACACCAAGAGCTCCCAAGTTAGCCATATCATTAGATACATTTGATATAATTCACCTGACACATGGAGCTGCCCATTTCCAAAAGGATTTTGGAGAAGATTTAAAAACTAGCACAACACAGGATTATTCTTCTTGAGAGAAGAGTGGATGAAGCAATGTTATCACAATTTACCAGGTAAAATATCCAGGGAAATCAGAGATGGCGTGGGTGTGGCAAAATATGGAGAAGAATCTTCCTATCTCTTGAGCCATAGTGGTTGAATTAAATGCAATGACCTCGTTTAGCATATCTCTTAGTCTTAATTCTCAAAGAGGTCTACTCACTCTTTTTCTTCTTTCCTGACTTAAAAAACCTTTGACAACCAAACAAGCAACATTTAACAACAAGGAAAGTAAAGATTGCCACACAGGCCAGTAGAAAGCCAATCACATCCAAAGAGTGGTATTGGAACCAAGTGAGGTCAAGGGATGCTGGACGAAGGTGCTTGGCTCCTCTGTGGCGCATGACAAACTCAATCCAGAAGACAGCTCTATCCAAAGGCTTAACAGGCTGATCATGATGAATGGCTGATAACCTCATAGCATTCTCTTTGTAGCTGAAGGAAAAGCAAAGTGTAAACCAGAAAAGATAAATACATCAATTTTCATTGATATATTCCGCATTCGGTGTAAAGTTAAATACTAGTTTCATCTAAGATAATTATAGAGATGTTAGATTACAAGCTAGAATTTGTTGAATGCATAGGAATTCAAGATGTTAAGAAAATTAACATTACAAGTGGACATGTATTTTTAGGTTTGAGAATGGAATGAGTTAAATCATAAAGGCAATAAAAAATTAAAAATTTTAAAATTGAGTATCTGGTTTTATAATTATCTAGTAAGAACGTGTTAATGGGTCTGGTGTACAAGGTCCAAAATAATTCCACAGTTCAGAAGTAGAAGGCAGGTCCATGATGGGGCCGGTGGACATGTCCAGCCAGGGCTGATCAGGAGTTGGTATTGGCCAGAACTTGGTATTTATTTTATGGTAGTGATTTAATAGATAAACATGTCACAGTGCATTGGCTTCATTTGAATTCGAATTCTGACACTTCATCGTCACCTTTGGGCAAATTATAAATTCTCAGTGTGCTTCCTTTTCTTTCCTCTTTGCTAAAGTGGAATAAATGGGGACAGTGCTCTTATATGATTTTTTTGTGATAAATAATGGGTTGAGCTTTAAATATTAAAGTGTCTCTGTCATGTGAAAGATACCGTGTTGTTGGTTTTTGTTTGTTTGTCTGTTTGCTGTTGTTATTGTTGCTTTAGTATTGTTCTAGATCTGGCTAATGGTCAACATTTCAAGGCACTGGGGGTTTTTGTTTTGTGCTTGGTTGAACAATGAATGATTTTTGTTTAAGAAGAGTGAATAAAGGCAAGTGTCTATGACGCTAGCAAGAGCAAAGTGGGGAACTTCCCCATGTAATTGATAAAGTACACTCAGAGGGCTGTGTTTTTGAAAGTGTCTCACCAATTTTTAAGTAGTTTTGCAATATAATATGGAAAGACCATAATGAAGAAGTCACTTAATAAAAGCAAAGAACCTAGCTCATTGCTTAGCACATGGCAAGTATTTATATATTTCAGCTAATAAAGAAATCTTCATTTTTCAACTCTACCATTGTATTTATTAAAAATTAAAAGATGCATAAAGGCATTTATAGTAGAGATATTGGTTTATAGGAACTCAGTAAGTGAAAGGTATATTCCTTTTCAAAATAAAAGATGCTTTTGTGGTAGTCATTTAGAATGCGGTTGGTTTACTAAAATTAAAATAATTGTGCCTCCACTACTCTATTACTATCAATATTTTCCCTGAATTAACTGTATTCTTAATTTCATTATGACCCAAAATTTGAGATTATAACATAATTATGATGATAGTAATGACATAATTAAAGTCATGACATAAAACCAATAGTTTTGGTTTTAGAGATTTTGACTTTGGGTTTTGACAAAGGTTTGAAGGTCACTAAATGGGGAAGAGCTAGCCACTTTAATAAGTGGTGCTGGCAAATTGAATATCCATTTACAGAAAGGAAACAGTATCCATATCTTATACCAGAAAACCTAAAAACTGAATAAGGCTAAAAGAATAAAATGCAAGACAAGTGGATCATAATAAATTACGGATACCACTATGAGAAATGGGAATTCCACACATCATTGTGATCATTTGGAACCTGTGCATAGTTCAAGAGGCACTCATTCAAACAAAACAAGGGGACCCGGCACAGTTTAAAGACAGAAATGGTGTGCATCAGAGTTGTATCTGTTGACAATATTTATTCAGTCTGTATGCTGAGCTAGTAATTTGAGAAACTAGCTGTATGAAGAACACAGCACCCCCCCCTTTTTTTTTAATGGGCCTACCTATTAATTTGCCTAAACCAAGATAATAAGTCCAGAAGAGACAGGGAAACCAGAAATGGTAACCAGGCACCCGAGGAGGAAAAGCGGAGCATACTAACGTCTTGCAGGGGTCAAAACCAATGTCATGGACTGATCTGTGTATAAGCTATTGATTGGAAAATTTGTTTGCTACTTAAACTCTCACCCAAAGCACAGTGAAGTGCTTTCAAAAACTCTATTTTAACTTTGAAACAGGAACATTCCAGCATATCCTCTCCAAATAAATCACTGCTTAATTTCAAGATCTTTGAAATAAGACAAAACAATCACAACCAAACGAACTGAAACCAACCCATGCTCACTGCCATCGAGTTGATGCTGACTCCTAGCCATCCTATAGCACGGGGTAGAACTGCCCCTTTGAGTTTCCGAACTGAAATTGTAATTGTAACTTCTACAGAAGTAGAAACCTTGGCTTTCTCTTGAGGAACTGCTGGAGGTTTCAAACTGCCAACCTTGTGGCTTGCAGCCCAACTGGTAACCCTTGCTGCTACCAGGGCTCCCTATGAAAAGAACTAAGACATTGGGTACATGTATGCTGACAATGGGTTGGCTTTGGTGTCCTTATTTTTCAGTGATCTTAATTATATACATTTTCTGTCCTAGTACTTTACCATTTATTAGTGAGGGGATCAAAGTATTAGGTTAGAAATTTAAGAAGTATTAAATGTAATAGCTATTTGAGGTTGATTGTATCATGTTAGTTTTCTAAGAGCAAGCTATGTTAGAAAGGTTTAAAACATTTAATGATTATCATCTTAAAAGAAAATCACACAAAGTATTATTCTTTGAGCATTCATGGACTATATTTCAACCTGTGCTTCTCTCAGAATTCTTCCAATTCCAACTTCAGTGTTTCGTCTCATTCTCCTTATGGCTATTTCAACCTTCCCCATTTTCCCCAAACCTTTGACAAATCATGCCCACACCATCACAGAAAAACCCAAACCACACCAGAACCTCAATTGAGAACCACTTACGATGGGTCACTGATGACTGTCTTTAAAGCATTGAGCAAATCTGTACTTGTTACTGTGTCTATGTCCAGACTCACTGCTGCCCCCTTGGCCTTCATGTGAGCAATGTTATCAGCTTGATCTGCAAACAGGGGCATGCCCACCATAGGGGTCCCGTGGTAGATAGCCTCATAGAGCCCATTGGTTCCTCCATGTGTTATAAAAGCTTTGGTTTTTGGATGACCTAGGGATGGGTAGATTTTGACAAGATTATTCATTGTATACCTTAGAAATAAAACGAGAAATGGCAAATATAAGGAACTTAATCAGACAGTTTCTAGAAAACAAAGTGTCATCCTCATTTAACCGCATTTAAATTGCTTTACCATCTCTGACAGGAAGCAGGGAAGTCTCTGAGTAGCAGCGGAGGGTGTTTTATGGGAGCAATGATGTGGCTTGAAAGGTGGCTGAGAAGCTGTGTTGGATAAATTGAAAACAAATATTCTGGATGAAAGTACCTACGCGAGGAGGTGGGGGGAGCTATGTTCTCTGAAGGCATAAAGGGAAGAAAGACGGAGCCTGATATGCAGGGTGCCCAGGCCAGCATGGAATGTGTTGGAGGAGTGCAAGGAAAGGAAGGGGATACTTCACTGTGAAGCGTTTCATCACTTCAGGATAGAGACTTTGTTTATTGTTGGGCTAAATGGGAAATATTTCTCCGTCAGTGGCAAGTATAGGAGTGAACTGAGAGTCTGAGGAAAGAGTATGACCCACGAGGCTATTAAAAAACTCCAGGAGGTTAAATACCTTGTTTCTGGCCATAAGGCCTCTATGAGGAGACTGTTTAAAAAAATAGTGGAAACTTTTCATTATCTCTTAGTTTCATTTTTCTGTAAACCTTTTGATACTGCTCCCTCATGTATCATTAAATATTATTATATTTTATCTTCCCCCACCCCTTGAAATGAGAAAATACATACAAACAACTTTTGCTTTTGAGCTTTTCGATAATGAATGTTCAATAATTGGTTTTCAGTTTGGCTCCTCTTTCCAGCACTTGTTCCCTTTACTTACCAAGAAGGTCATTTTGAGGGAGCCACTTATAGAGCCGAGTGTTGGATCCTAAGGCACTTGGTTTCTTGCCATCATATCGCCACAGCACCTGTTAATATGAAGAGAATCCTTTAATCCATGAGTTGAATGTGAGTTAGAATCTTAGAGGAAATGAGAACAAAATGTTAAGGAATTACAACTACAACATTAATGAAATAAGTAGGACTATCCACCTTTAATGTGTGATCATGTATGGAATGTAATTGTCAAATGAAAGGACAAAATTTGTTGATGGCTCTATACCTGGCTACCACTTCCCTATGATGCTCAAACTTCACACTGTGCCTATTTATATATGCATTTGTCATCACAGTGTTAATGGTAGTAAAGTAATTATTAACTGTAAACATTACAGAGAGCATTTTAAAGATGATTTTGATAGATATAATTAGGTTAAAAAGTGACATCTTATTTTTTTTTTGTAATTCTTTTAAAATCAATAAATCATTGTACTGGGGGCTCTTACATATAACAGTACATACCTCCATTATATCAAATGGATGTGTACAAATATTGCTATCAGCCATTTCAAAACATTGTCTTTCTTCATGAGTCCCTGGTTATCAGTTATTTTTCCCTCCCCCATCCGTCCTGCCACCCTTGCAAAACCTTAATATATTATGTATTTTTATTTATACATATCTTACTCTGCTCCTCTGTCTCTTCACTTACAATCTTGATATTCCTCCCTCTAGAGAGGGGTTATTTTTGCCATCATTGCTATCAGTTATCCCTCCCTACCCTCTTCTGTTTCCCTACCCTCTTGAAGTTATTACTACCATTACTGTTTCTGAGGGGTTCGTCTATCCTGAATACCATAAATTGAAAGCTTTCATGTATACTGATGTATGTATGCTGGACTTGCTGGATTTTCCAGGTAAGACTGAGATCATAATATGGGGGGAAGAAGGATTAAGGTCCTAGAGAGATGTTGTGTGTTTCATTGGTGGAATACATTCCCCTGGATTTATCTTCTTTTCCATGTAGTCCCTCTGTGCTGGGATGGCAGGAGGAAGGTAAAAGGAAATAGAGGAGAGAACACGGAAGCAAAACTATTTATACAGGTAAAAACATAGACATGCACATATGTAAATATATTAATACATAAATACTGGAGTATTGGTCTATGTACATATATTTATAAGACACTACATTGAGGTAATGGACAGACTTTGCGCCTCTACTCAAGTTTTCTCTCAACACAGTTTTCCCTCTGACAGTCTCTGCAATGAGTGATGCCCACCTGCCCAACATGATCACTGAAGACAAACTGGGTGCATAAGCAAATGTGGAGAAGAAAGCAGATGGTGCCAGGCTATAAAAAGGTATAGTGTCTGGGATATTAAAAGCTTGATGCCAAACAAGCGGCCATCTAGCAGGGAATCAATAAAGCCCACATGGAAGAAGCACACCAGCCTGTGTGATCATGAGGGGTCGATAGAAACATTCATGAGAAGTTCAAAAATAAACAACCTTATTGAGGTGAAGGAGAGGGGTCAAGTTGCAGAGCCCATCTGGGGATAATTGTAATATCAAATTTTATCTGTCTTTTGACCCACTTAGAAGTTGTTTCCATCTTTAAAAACTTGAGGGGGAAAACGTGGATAAAGCCCTGGTGGATCCTCTCTGACCATAGACCTGGGATGTGAACCTCTTGATGTCATGCAGAGTGCTTTGGAAAGCAGATTATGGCAGATGGAGCTAGGCTATAATTTAACACCTTATCATGTGATTTCCCTTTGGTCTCATTGTAAAGTTGTTCTAGTTTTTAATATTTTCTATATTCTTTTCAATTGACTTTTTTCCCCCAATTTTATTTAGTTATTATTGTTAGTTTTTGGGTGGTGGTGGTGGTGAGGTTTTTCTGTATATAAAACCCAGGATAGGTAAATTTATAAAGACAGCAACCAGATTAATGATTTCTTAGGGGAACGGTGAAGAAGCTTGTGTGTGTGTGTGTGTGTGTGTGTGTGTGTGTGTAGGAGAGTGAATAACAGTAAGTAGAAGAAAGAAGAAAATGTTCTAAAGCTGATTGTGGTAATGATTGCATAACTCTTCTTGATATGATTGGATGAATGGATGATATGATATGTGGATTATGTGCCAATAAAATGTTTAAAAGAATAAAGGTTTAATTCAATACTACTCTTTATGTTTCAAATATTTATCCATTTTATAGAATATTGACTGGATTTTTAAAAAATTAAAAATCAAAATGTCATATTATTATTTTACTTATTAAATATTGTATTTAACTTCTATTGGGGGCTCTTACCTCTTTATCAAATCCATCCATTCATCCACTGTGTCAAGAACATTTGTACATACGTTGCTATCATCATTTTCAAAGCATTTTCTTTCTACTTGAGCCCTTGGTATCAGCTCCTCATTTCCCCCCCTCCCTCCCCCTTCTTCCCTCCCTCATGTACCCTTGATAAGTCACAGACTATTATTTTCATACCTTACATCATTCTCTGTCACTCTTCACCCACTTTTCTGTTGCTCATCTCCCTGGGTGGGGGTTCTATGTAGATTCTTGTGATTGAGTTTCCCTGTCTCCCCCCACCTTCCCCTTATCCTCCTGGTATCTCTGTTCTCATTGTTGACCCTGAGGGGTTTATCTATCCTGGATTCCCTGTGTTGCGGGCTCTTATCTGTAGCAGTGTGCATGCTCTGGTCTAATCCAATCTGTAAGGTAGAATTGAGGTCATGATAGTGGTGGTGGTGGTGGTGGTGAGGGGGAGAAAGCATTAAAGAACCAGAGGCAAGTTGTTTCATCGGCACCCTGAAAATGTCATATTGTTTCAACATATTAATAGATGTATATTTGTTTTCTATCGGAAACGAGATAGAATGGAGCTTTCATAAAATTTCCATATCTACCTTTTGTGGAATCTGAGCAAGGGCTGATGCAATGATATGGGCCGTTTCTTCTGTGATGTTTTTGATCATTGACCCAAGACTGAACACCACAATACCATGTTTTCCAGAGCTCTGGACAAACTCTTCCATTTCCTATGAAGAAAGAAATAGCTTCATCATGAAACAGTAATAAAATAATGAAAAGTGCTTAAAGATTTGACCACACACAACTTCCATGCAGGGGAAAATTAAATGTTGATAACCCAAACCAAACCTCTTACTGTAAAGTCAGTTCCAATGTAGGACAGCCCTACCTGCCACAGAGGGAGAAAGAAGAGACTTTCGACTCCCATAAAGGGTTATCTCTCCCTATCTTCTTCAAGGGAGACAGGCCAGCAGGTTGTGTGTGAAAGTCAGGGGATAGTTGTTCTGTGGAGTGCTTCTGCGGGGCCAGAGCCATAAAGGAACATGTTCAGATAGCCACAATCGCTGAAAATGGTGATAGTGAGAAAATGGCTGAGCTGGAAGGCAAAATCTATCATCAAATGCATGCTTTTATTTGCCCAGGGACAGCGTTTTAAAGGAATAGATCCAACTAGGTGAAGGCTGGGTGCTATTGGAGATGAAGATATACATTCAACAGGCTAAGCCGTCTAACAAGTGACTTTAATGTAATAGTAGAAGCACTGAGCAAATCAAAGGTAGATGTCATGGAAATAAGCGATGAAAAACTAAACTCTGAAGATCTCCAAGCAAATCTCTCCCTAAAGTGACTGGTGAGTATTAAAATGATGTAGGAAAACAACAACATGGGTCTGATTAATATGAAGGGTTTCCTAACTGATGCAATCCTGATGTCATCAGAAGAATGGTTAGAGGAGAAAGGTGAAATTCTACATATGCAGATGAGCACAAAGCGTTTAAGGGATCAGTATTTGCTGTGTTTGACAGCTAAGACGTTCGTAGAGACCCTTGGCCAGAAGAATAAAGGCATAGACCTGTTCATACTTTTCAAGGTTGATTTCTCTGTTGAAAAGAATGAAGAAAGAAAGCAAAAGAAAGTAGAGGCAGAATTACAAGAGCAAGAAGAACAGCAAGTTAGTAGAAGATGCTGAAATGAAGTCTCTGGAAGAAGACTTGCTGAAATGTCCTGGGTGACGTGGCTCATCAGAGCTGTAGAGCAGATGAACATAAACCGTTTGCAAGTCCTGGAGGAATCAAATGGATGCTTTATCGCAGGAGCACATAGTGGAGTATTTCAAGAAAAAGTGAAAGAAGTATTGGATATAGCCAAAGGTGCACGTAACAGAGACCTACAATTAAAAGACACAGACGTGACATGTGAAGCGCTAGAAGCAGAGGGGGATGGGCAGCCCTGAGAAAGCTGGACGACCAATCAGAGTCTCTGAACAAATGGGAAATGAAGTTGCGCAGGCGCGGTTGGCAAAGGTAAAGACAGTTTCAGGCTAAGAAAACGACCTTTGATTGTGAAGATGAGTGTGATGAACATGGTGGTGCAGCCGGACCAGAGAAAGCGCAAGCAAGGAAGCAGACAGAGGAGAGCCTTCATCCACACAGCAGAACATGGTTCCCGGGGACCAGTAGTTTAATGAACCACTGTAACATTCATTTCATTTGTGTTTTCATCTGATTTTCTCTTTGGAGATTTTAACCGAGGACATTGAGTTAGGTCCACTTCAATGTATCATGCAATCAATTATAAGCTATATAAAAATAGGACACCTCCCCTCCAACCCCCAAACCAATTAAAAAAAAAAGAATGGCAGTCTCAAGAACCCACAGAAGCAGTTCCACCCTGTTCTATAGGGTCCCTATGCGGTGGCATCAACTCAATAGTAGATAGCAGCCTGTCCCACCAAGTAGAGCTGAAGCCCCTGCATTTTCTTTGGTTTTGTTTGGCCGTAATCTTTATGGAAGGAGTTCTCCAGAGGTTTCTTCCGTGTCCCCATTGGGTAGCTGGGGCCCACCAACCTTTAATTAGTTTGTTGTTGGTGTTAGGTACTGTCACGGGAGTTCCAACTCAGAGTGACCTTGTGAAGGAAACATGGTCAGGTCTTACACCAGCCACCCGATTGTCATGTTTGAGTCCACTGTTGCGCTACGACGTTAATTGATCTCCTCACTGCTCTTCCTTTCTTCTCAGCCCTCCTACTTCAGCAAGCAATGTTCTTTACTAATAGAAGTTTCCAGAAGGAGCCATCAAAGCACGATCTTAACCCAGCTTTACTCATAAATAATAAAAGCACACCGTGAATAAGGACTGTGCTTAGCCGCTAACCAACAAGTTGGAAGTTCAAGTCCATCTAGAATGAAAAGCGTGGCCATTAAGTTCAGGAAAAACAGGCAATGAAAATTCTGAAAAGGACAGTTCTGCTCTGACACATGTGGATCTCCGGGAGACAGAATCAATTAGAGAGCATCTGGTTGGTTATAGTTTTACCTAAGCACCTGTTTATTCCAGCAAGTTTTCTGGAGAGTTTGTTCCATTGGGAGGCCTTAGGGTGCCACGGTTTGCCTATGAGCACTAAGGGAAAGTGAACTGTGGGGGATGATGGCAAATCTATATTCCTTTCAGCAGCCTAATCCCTTAGGTCACATTTTAAGCTTCTTCATATTTTCTCAGCTATTTCCATAACATGCACAATTATGCCCAGGGGTTGAGAATTTCTTTCTGTTTTTAAAAAAGAGACTTTCTAATATTAAGAAACAAAAACTTTAGTTTTGGAACTTCTGTGAAATAGTCCTAAGAGTCCCACTCACAGGTTAATTAAAAGAAAAACCGGAAAAGTTGGAAAAACGTAAGCAGGTCCTCCCGCTCATCTGATTGCCCACATGCTCGTATCCACTTTAACTAGCCGCACAGGTTCTGTTTGCTAGAGAATATAGTCTTGATTTGCTGGAAAATCAGTTAAATGACAATTATTTCTGAAGTGACAGACACAGATTAAATGACAAATAGGAATTGTAGTAATAAGCAAAATAGCAATTATTTGCAATAGTTAATATTCTTTTAGGATTATTTACTTTGCCATATTTGTTTCCTGTTACTACCTTCTGCTTTCCATGAACCCACCACACAGGTGGGTAGTTCTGTAAGAATAGTCCTGACTCTGTTAGCTTTCTAGCCTAGTTTCCTAACAACTGGTGCCTGCAACAAAATTCTCATCTAAAGGGTCATCCATTCCAGTCTTGCTCCTGCACACTCCAATTCAGTAACTGTATTTTGAGGGATCACTTAGAAAAAGGTCACTGATCATATCTTCTCCTTCACGAACTCTTTCCAGCTACCCTCTCCTATACCATCTACCACGTTACTCTTCGTCTTCTTGTTCAACTAACTGCGAAGATCATGGGGGGCTGCCATTGCTGTTGTAGCTGCCTGCCTTCTTTCTTTCCCCTTGTAGGGTCTGTCTATGCCTATACACCATTCCCTTTAAATTTCAATTACTGCACGTTACTTTCTATGAACCCTGCTTTCATTCTTACAACACTTTTCACATTGTATTTTCAATACTTGCTTTCATTCTACTTTTTCCACGTAGAATGTCAGGTATGTGAGAGCTTGAGTGATGTGGGGAAGGGAAAACCATGTCTGGACGCACGGTTGTTGTTCTCTTGGGTACCATTGAGCTGGTTTCTGGCTCGTCGTCATTCTGTGCACATTAGAATGAAAAATGCCTGGCTCTGCACTGTAGTCCTGGAAGATGATAATAGCTCTGAAAACAGACTTTGAAAGTACAGCATTGTCTTATGTGTTGAATGATGAAGGCTCTAATTTATCAGACCCTATTCTCAAAGTCTCTCAGATATTCCATTTTATTGTGTCAGGCTACATATGCAAGTCGCTTTGTCGCATCCCCACCTGTATTACTTAGTGACACATTCTGAGCGAAGAAGGGAGAGTCATTTCGAGAAAAAACAAAATGAATAGCAATGGGTATACCTTGGGCAAGGGCTGGGCAGGTTTGCAGTGCAGCCCTCCCACAAAGTCAAAATGCGGCAAGAAAGGGCGAGGGTATTCAAAATCCCAGTAGGTTCGAATCAGCCACATTTCCGCTTTCCTCATGGTTTCAGATAGCGTAGTTGGTCTTCCTGAAATTTGAGCCCCGAAATCAATTAATCATGCTATACCCATGAAGATGCTTTTTGCAGAAATACTCTCCAATTTCTGTAGTTTAGCAAAGCAGGCCCTTGACCCTTCGTTTTCCAACCAAACTACAGGTTTTGTCAATGTCCTTCAATTCCTAGTACCAACCTAGGGCATTTGAGACAATTTAAGAGCTGAACAGTATTTTATCATTAAAGAAAACTATTTGTAATTAAGAGCTGAAAATGTTAAAAGCATGGAAAATTATGCCCATTGAGTTTTGACACACCAGTAGACATAGTGACGGCTCCTTCACATAGTTTTGAAAGATCCAGACTAGTAATTTGTGTGTTAACCAGCCAACCATATCATAGGCCTGTAAGAAAGGTGACTGACAAGTACGTAATAAAGAAATGTGGAATTGTTACAAACCTTAAGTTTCTCTAAAAACATTTATTCAGAATTACATTATTTTGATGCTGACTATTTAGCTAGAAGATCAATAAAATATTGAAGACATAAATTATACTTTTTTGAGTCTGAAAGATTACCACTCATTACACAGAATCTTGAGGAGGTAATGCTGAAAATCTTTTGTTAGTAAATAGGGAAACTGAGCAGCACAAAAAATAATTGTATTGATGGTCCATAGATGTTTATGCTACAAGCAAGTCTCACACTTTAATCTACATATCTCTGTTCATCCATCCCTTCATTGAGTTTTGTAAAGGTGAAAAGACTAATGAAATGGATATATAATTAATTAAAGAAATTCTAAGTATGTTTATTTTGCAGTTTCTGACTTCCTGGAGTTTCCTGGTCCATGGCTCCCAGGATTCTTTTAACTAATTCTATAGTGAAAATATTTCCATAATATTTATAAGATTTATACATCTTTTCACATTTTCTCCTAACAAAAATTATATTCCTCTGTCTTTTTACTTACACAAATTCACCTGTAAAGGCACAAGGAAAGTTGGAGCGGTAGTGTACTTATAAAAACATGACTTACCTAGTACTTCACTGTAAAATTGATCCCACTTTTTCTCATTCACTTGCTGGAACCAAAAGTCAAAGTAAAGCACATATATCATATTTTTTACCCTCTCCATGAACGTCATGCGATCCTGTAATTCTGACAAAATAACAGGTACGTAAGAAGGAGGCGTTAGGAGTCCTCCACTGTACTTCTCATATGAATAGCCAGTAGTGAACCGGACAGTGTACAAAAAGGGTATATTAAGCAGCTCAGCTAGCAGTTCACCACAAGGACTGACGGCATCTGCAAACAAGACATCAAACTTTGATTCTTGTAGTTTCACCATAAGTTTCTTGTTCAAAACTACATCTTTACAGAGCCTTAAAATAATATCAGAATATCCCCAAATAGATTCTTGTATTACTGAAAAATATGCAAAAAATGAATCTTTTGGTGCCTCATATGTCCATTTCTTAATCCATGTCATGAATAAAAGCTCCATCTCATCTTTAGTAAGAGCTGTAGGATAAACCTCAAATTTGATAGAAGATGGTTTGTTGGAATCAATAAGAATGGAAGACGACGAGACTAGAACAGTCACCTCATGGCCCCTCTGAATAAGTTCATCCAGTATTGTCTTGATATTGAGCCAATGGCTGTATTCTGTTGGCCACACCAGCACTTTCCCACAAGTTCCACAGTTGAAGCAACAACTCAGTTGAATCAGCAGAAGAACTGAGATCCATTTCATACACATCTTGGTTAAATAAAATCCTCCTTTCAAATGGCTGCTCCCCTCTGTCATGGCTCATGCTTAAATCCTAGGATAAATCAATTAAGAAGTTAAAATTCAACTCTCACAGGTCAAAGTAAACACATTACACGGTTGCAGAAAGTGGGTGCCAAGTGATAAAAGCAAAGGGTACGTTGACCCTATGTTTTAGGAGTGCCCTTAGTACCACTCATCATGAATGCTCCCACACAGCTAAAAGTCTGTAACTTAGCATTTGCATGTTGCCTCTGTTATAGAATAGATTTTAGAACAGAGGTAAGGATACGGCCACTTGTGATTGCAGATCCTGTGACACAAGAATTAAAGAAAATAAGTGTAGAATTGCATCAGCATTTTTTGACATACATTAAATGTTAAAGGCTGTTTCAGGTGAAATCTTTATGGACATATTACTCACATACCAACAATTTATCAATTTACAGTGTACCATCCAGTGGTTGTTAATATATACACAGTGTTATATAATCACTAGTATCTATGATGAAAATATATTATTTTAATCATTCAAAACCAAATTTTATACTCCTTAACTATCACCCTTCAGTCCTTAAAATCTGTGAGTCCCATTTCTGTTGATACATAGTTTCTTATTATGGACACTTCATATAAATAAAATCATACAATATGTGGTCTTTTGTGAATTTTTTCATTAAAGATTCAATATTTAGCTATGTCAAATTATGTACAATATATCATTTCTTATTATTACCAAGTACTGCATTTTTACACAAAATACAAGTGCTTTTTATGTTTGCTTGCCAAGCGCACTCCCTCTCCCCAGTATGTATTTTTCTGCTTTACTGAGTTTTGTTGTACACATTTCTGATAAAATTAGCATCTCACATGTAAATATCTCCCAAGACTAGGAAGCAGTTGACGAACAAGTGTGTTATTTGCATGAAAACACCTTACTATGTCGTACGGATATCCCAGTTTTCCTCCTACTTTGATCAGTTGATAGATGCTTAGGGTTGTTTCCACTTTTTAAAAAAAAATCATTTTATTGGGGTCTCATACAACTCTTGTCACAAGCCACACATCATTTGAATCAGGCATGTTTGTACATATGTTGCCCTCATTCTTTTCTAGACATTTGCTTTCTATTGTGCCCTTGGTATCTGTTCATTTCCCCACCTTGTTTCCACTTTTTTGAGTATAATCAATAATACTTTTAAGGCACATTCTTTTACAAGATTTGTATCAGCATACATATCCATTTCTCTTGAGAATATGCTTAATCTATGTTTAACGTATACCACTGCTTTTCCAAAATGGCATGTATGAGGGTTCCAGTGTTCTCAGCATATAAAAAAATCATATTAAAATTTGTTTTATTTTTGTGAAAAGATACACATAGCAAAACATAAACCCACTCAACTATTTCTACACGCGTGATTCAGTGATCTTGGTGAAATTCTTCACATTGTGTCATTCTTGCTATCTCTATCCACATTCATTTACTATTCACTTAGAACCCTCACAACACTTATTATCTGTATGGGCTATAGCCATTCAAGCCAGGATAAAGCTGTGTGTCACTGTGATTTTACTTATATTTCTCTGATAACTAATGGTCCTTGACCTTCAAGGAATGTCTATGTGCCAGATTTTCTAATGGGACATGGTGTCAGTTCAGGACTCACTTTGCTTATCAGTGGAACTGAAGAAAACTTCAAAGTCCATTCAAGGATCTATGTAAGCTGTTGAATATGAAATCATTTTCTAAGGAAGTAATTCATAGTGTATTCTCTTCTACATTGCTTAGGAATTTGCAGAGTGAAGAATTTATATTGCCCACGTGCCATAAGCTGGGTTCTCTAGAGAAACAAAATCAGTGAAGCTCAATTGTGAGTCTGGTCAGTGAGTTCCATATGGCCATTTCAACAAATGATTAAACCCATCAGAAAAATAGAGTGTTATGGAAGGGATGATTGGTGTCAGAATTAGTGAAGAAAACTGGAAGGTGGCGGTATGTCTGACCTCTGCCTCATAGGAACTGTCCTTGAGCTGATGTTGCATTTCATTCGCCTTCTCCCCTGTGAAGTCCGAGGAGGGGAGCTGCCAGCTGCACACCCTTCTTGCAGTCATGTGATGGGAAAAGACTCTAGCTGCCTGCAAAGAACCGGGCCTGAAGAAGCACCCTGTGATCCACTGCTTGTATCCTCGTGACTCTGATTGCCACAACAATTACTACCATTGAAAAGATGAATATAATGTTGCTAAGAGTGGAAATGATGATGCTGAGGTCCACCCACACTACATTTAAAATTACTATTTGAATGCATTCATAATTCATTCTTATACATTATAATTAACAACATTGAACGGGTGTCTTAAGGACAGATATAATGCCTCTGGTATAGCCTTGAAAGCCGACTTGACTATAAAATCTATTTGGATCAATTTCTTGTACCTCTGTCCTATTCTCCAAAAATTTTCTAAATTTCATTGTTAATTAGGATGATTTAGTTGGTTTTTTTTTTAATTTCCCACTGACCCACTAATATACCTACTATTCAGCTTTGTTTGGTTTCTTGAAATGTCACTTTTCTTTTCCTGTGATTGTTCAGTTGAACATTATTTGACTTCTTTCCTACTTTGACCTTATTTTCTCTGACACGTGATTCCTGGTAAGTTTCCAGCAGGCTTGTCTGGGGACTCTGATCTTTGTTCTAAGATTTGGGGCACTGCCACTCATGCCTCCCTTCTAATATCCCCCCATTGCCAATGTGTTGGTTCTGACCCTTGGCGGCCTCACATGTGTCTGGGGAGGACTGTGGTCCCTAGGGTCTCCAAGGGTTGAGGCACCCCTGCGTAGTTCTGAATTTTCAACCTTTTACTTAGCAGCAGAGCAGATTAATTTTTAAGAAAACCTTATAGTCAATAGTTAATGTTTGCATAACTGGGATCTACTTAACAAACGTAGGGCCATTTTCTAGTGACTGGTCTCCCCTGACAAAAGTCCAAAGTACATAAGATGTGTGTCACCATCCTTACCTCTAAAGAGCATTCTGGCCATACTTTTTTTTTTTAATACTATGTTTTTTTCTTTTCAGTTTTATTGGCACATAATCTACATCATACAATTCAATCATTCAATAATGTCAAGAAGAATTGTACAATCACTACCACTATCAATTTCAAAACATTTTCTTTTTTTCCCCCATGACTAAATCCCCTTTAGTTCTAGTGCTCCCTCCCCCTCCTGCCTCCACGGTTTATTCCCAAAATCCCCTCACCTTACCCATCTGCCCCGACTCATTCTGTTTCCCTTAAAAATCCTTGCCTCAATTATCTCTATGCATTCACTCCTTCTGTGCTTCATAAACTGTGAAATACAATGGAAAAAATAAAGAACAAAAAGGAAATGAAGTAGTAAAGACAAAACAATAGCAATGTAAAGATAAAAATACCACAGTGAGCAGGAAATAAAAGACCTCCATTAATATTCAAAAGGCCAGGATCATGCAAGGATCCCTGCACCTAGAAAGGATTCATGTCGGGTCTAGAGGGAGGTCAATTGTCCAAGTATCAAGTTATCCAGCCTAATCCTGATTACAATGATCTATGTTTGATAGTAAGGCTATCCAGACCTATGCCTGTGGCTGGGGAGTATCTACCAGCAACTTCATCTGACTAGCTACTCTGCCGATGGGTTTTGGATTCCCACTCTCCTCCACTGCCTTCCACAAATTCAGTGTTCACAATTTAAGTTCTTCTCCTTTTGTCATATTTTCCTTTTGTTCTTGCCATCCTTGGGTCGCACAGGCTGGTGTGCTTCTCCATGGGGACTTAGTGGACTGAGTCAAGTCCTCGCTAAGATGACTGGTTGTTTCAATACAAACCTTTAAGACCACAGACACTTCAGATTGGTAGCTGGGCACCATCTGCTCTCTTCACCACACTTTGCTGTAGCACCCTTTCTTCAGTGATCATTTGATGAAGGCAAGTATCGAACCAGGCCATGTTATCAGAGCTTACTGTTCTTGTATTGGGGCTAGAGTTAAGTAGGCACCCAGAATCCACCTGCTTGCCCATGGAATATGCGGGACTGAGGTTTACTTTGTTGGTTGTCTTACGACAAAATCAAATCCCCGTATGACCCAGTACATTAGCACCATCAGGAAACCAACCAGCAAACAATCAAATAAACAAAGAGGAATCAAACTAAACTAAACTAAAGGCAGGAAAACAAAAAGCCATATAAAGAAAACAGCACAACATTGTCAATCATCTGGAGTCTAAGGCAATTGCACTGATGATATCAATTTCCCCAATGGCACAGCACTCTGGACACTGTCGGTATGAGGACTCGGTGAATACAGATCCACCTTGGGCCGCAGCCCATGAATTGTTGCCCTGCAGTGTGATCTCCATTCCATTGAGCTCTGTTTGCCCTTATTAGGAGGCCTGGTGCCAGGGGAAAACTTCCTGGCTCAGTTCTTGCATGAGCAGTTCCTTACCCAACAGATCAAAACCTGTCATTTCAATGTTAGGAGGGCATCGAGGGATTAATATATGGTGATTTGGGGTCACTTTCCATTGGACACTCCCAAAGCCAGGGGTTCCCCGCAAGGTCCAGTGACCGCCACTTCCACAGTCCTGGAGTGGCCTCTCTCTGCTTCCTCTCCCTTCCGAATACCTCAATCCTCAGTCCTAGGTTGCAGGTAACTTCAGGCCAGGGCTTAGTTCATTCAACTGGACCTTTTTGTCAAGTTCTTCTGGTGTAGTCCCTGCTTTATACCATGCTGCCATCACAGTCAGCATCCAATGTCATCATGCTGTTTAGTCTATGGCATGGCTCATCGAGGGTTGGGTAGAAAACCATTCGTGAAGTCTACCCAGGAACATAAAATCTGGTCCATTGTCCCCCTGCCCCCAGGTTCCCTACAGTGATTGTTTAGCACCCCTTCCCCATATGAGGTTACTCTTCTCTCTTACCACCCACCATACTCACAAACAGAGCCATGAACGTCTCCTCCAAGGAGT